GTGCCCAACTTGCGCACTGGACCTCAGAGATTTTTTTTCCCACCCTTATCCGAGAAAGATAAGTGTTGAATTTTACCTATCCTAAAATCAGGGGTGTGGCTGAAAGACGGCAGTAGTAAGAAGGAGCCAAGGAGTAGCAGTAGAAAGGCAGCAGAAAGAGACAGGAGCCCAGAGAAAGGGCAAAAAAGATTTGGGGGGGGGGAGGGGGGGGACCAGAAAGTGGAGACGAACGCAGACAACAGAACATGATTAGAGAACAGGAAAGAAGGTGAAAGGAGAACACTCTTTAGAGAAGACAATTTTCCGTCACTGTCAGGTTTGGAACGCGGGACCAGTTGAATGAGAGGCGAACACTGCAGTGAGGGCGAGGGTAATACGTCAGTGTTTTCAGATCTTTTAAAAAAAGTTTTTCTCAAAATACACTTTTTACTATGATGACTGCGCGGGGGACATCGTTTTTATAAAACTGTCAGAGCTACAGGCTTGGAATTTGGCGCATAAGTGCTGTATTATGTGATCATAGGCGGAGATTTTGTGAAACATTGATTCATTTTAAAAATATTTCTCATCATACTCGCTTTTTTCGGTGCTGGTCCAGTGATATGTCAATATTTTCGTTGTTATTAATTATGGAAAAAAATCCCCGCTAATGATCACAGATAAAATGTTTATAAATATGTGTGTAAAGTTTGAGGTTCGAATTTTGATATTTTCTGTGGAAAACAATTTCCGGCGCAACATGGTAAAAAATCCGAGATGGCCGCCTCAGAGACCAACTTTTCATAAAACTCGATACATTCCGTCATAGTTCTTTTAATTAGTCTATAATTAGCCTATATCACCTTTAAAAATTGAAGGAATGTCAAACCTCTAGAAAATTCTCGTATCATGTATATAACCCCTAAATATAGATCTAACTGTGCACCCTGTAAATGATTCTGAACAACCGATAGATAGATAGATAGATGGATAAATAAATAGATAGATAGATAGATAGATATATAGATAGATAGATAGATAGATAGATAGATAGATAGATAGATAGATAGATAGATAAATAGATAGATATATACAAACAGAGAGAAAGAAAGAGAGAGAGATATAGATCGATAGATAGATAGAGAAAGAGAGAAAGAGATAGAGAGAGAGAGAAAGAGAGAGAGAGAGAGAGAGAGAGAGAGAGAGAGAGAGAGAGAGAGAGAGAGAGAGAGAGAGAGAGAGGGAGAGAAAGAGAGAGAGAAAGGAGGGGGCAAACAGAGAAAGAAAGACATGAAGACAGAAAGAAACTAAGAAAGAAAGAAAGAAAGAAAGACAGAAAGAAAGAAAAAAAGAAAGAAAGAAAGAGACAGAAAGAGTGATAGACATTTCACCTGGACAGTAACAGTTTAAGTTTATTTGTCAAAATGTTACTCACTGGAGTTGGTATCTCACACGTATAGTATGTGCAACCGTAACTGTCTATGCTGTGAATGAAAAGATAAATGTCAGTAAAGTGATCAAGAGAACGTTGTATTTTTATAATAATATACGAGGGATGGAAAAGCAGAAGAAGAGCGAATGGAAAGTATGGAAAGAGGTGAAACTGTGTATATAATAATAATGTGTAGGGGGTATAGATGGGAGAAAGAGAGTGACAGTGTATGTCTGTATGTTTGTGTTTGTGTGTGTGTATGTGTGTGAATGTGTGTATCTTTTTATGTGTATGTTTGTTTGTGTGTGTGTTTGTGTGTATGTGTGTATGTTCATGTGTTTGTGTGTTTATGTGTTTGTTTGTGTGTGTGTGTGTGTGTGTGTGTGTGTGTGTGTGTGTGTGTGTGACAAACGTACCCCTGAACACATTACACATCAATCGGTATGTATCCTAACTGTGACATTATCGGCTTCAAGGTCGTCAGTTCTCAGCAACGCCTGCAATGTATTTGGCTCATGGTATCACATAAAGTGAGAAAAATATATTGTAAAAAATGAATTGTGATCCCCTCCCCTTTCCCAATTTTAAATTACGTTGAAAATTTATTTCACTCATGACGTCTCGAAGCATCAAATGTGGTCTAACTAACAGAAAGTGGAGACCCCGGTTGAGCGCTTGTTTGTTCGATTGTTTTTTTTTTTGGTTTTTTCTTTGGTAGGTGTTTTACGGCGCTCCCAACAGTATAAAGTCATTAATTTGAGCGGCCGGGACTCATTATTAAGCATTTTCTGTTTTGTAGGAATTAATTTTGAATGTTACCGGGGCGGCGGCGAAGCCTACTCCTATCGATTTTAGGACCGCAAAGGGATCTTTAACGAGCCCAACTTGCGCACTGGACCTCAGAGGTTTTTTGTTCACCCTTATCGGAGAAGGATAGAAGTTGAATCTTCTTACCAACCCTAAAATCAGGGGTGGGGCTGAAAGACGGCAGTATTAAGAAGGAGCCAAGGATTAGCAGTAGAAAGGCAGCAGAAAGAGTCAGGAGCCCAGAGAAAGGGCAAAAAAGATGGGGAGGGGGGAGGGGGGGGACCAGAAAGTGGAGACGGACTCAGACAGCAGAACATGATTAGAAAACAGGAAAGAAGGTGAAAGGAGAACACTCTTTAGAGAAGACAATTTTCTGTCACTGTCAGGTTTGGAACGCGGGACCAGTTGAATGAGAGGCGAACACTGCAGCCTACCTTTAGACAATGGGGGCGAGGGTAATAGGTCAAGTGAGTTCCGAAAGGGAGGTGGGGGGGGGAGGAGGAAGCTGTTTGTCTCAGAACAAACCACTGATTCAATAAAAAATAAACATACTCTTTTGGTACGTCTCAAGGAACAATTGTTACGCTCATACACATTTATTTGCAAAATCAAACCAGTGCCAATACCATAACAAAATCACGAACACTCGTCTTTTCTTCTGGATCGTTTTGAAAGGTTCGAGGAGTTTTCGATGAGCTACGGCTTCAGGCCTGTTGTAAGAATCTGTATCCAATAACCCGCCCCGCCCAAAAAAAACAAACAACAAAAAACAACAACAAATAAACAAACAAACAAAAAGAAAAACAATTTAAAAAAACAAAACCGACAACCCCCAGACAAACAAATAGTTCGAGCTTTGATCACTGAGGTGAAGGAAAACGCATTAGAGAGGGATGTTTGAGGAGCTACAAGATGGCATCTCAGGAACTTCTGTAAACTGATTTATACAAGAACAATAACTATAATAATAATATTATGTCATGGCACGCTGGAATCAGGCGCTCGTCAATTTTTGGACCTGAGGGGTTATTGGTATCATTTTAAAGCTTGTTCATTTGTCTTGATTACAGAGAAAGTTTACCTATCTATCATGAATAGAGAAGTCGAGGTATTTGCGATTGAAGGAGGTGGGGGTAGCCTGGTTTCAGAGGTAAAATTAGCGAGAAAATGGCTGCAAAAATTTTAAGAGTCAACATTTTTCAGCAAATTCCACACAGTAATGTATTTTTTAAATAGACCCTAAAGGTGTTGGGTCAAAAAACAAATTCGATTTAAATTGCCAATCGGAAAGAAAAATGCCAGTTTCTTCAATTTCATTATTTTGACGAACGTCTGATTTCACCACGATGCCTCCTTATTTTTTGTACCGATCTTCGTTTTAGTGGGATAGGCATCACAGAGAGGAAGGAGAAAGCCAGAAGACTCTGACCATATTTTTTAAATGTCCTGTGTTTGTTTCTTATAGATGCTATGTGCTCGTAAATGTAGCCACTTAGTTTTTAATTGATGATGATGATGATGATGATGATGATGATGATGATGATGATGATGATGATGATGATGATGATGATGATGATGATGATGATGATGATGACCTATGTTATGAATAGTATTATTACCTTCTTTCTATTTTGTCGCTTATTGAACCTTCCATTAGGCTGAGGGTTGGGACACTCCCCTTAATTCCCAACTCCTCTCATTGGTGGAACAAACTTTGAAATTGTAAATGTTTCAACATGGTCCCTAGCAATTATCAACCGTTGCTGGGGACAGCTTCTAAATGAAGTAATTGTCCACTTACTGTTCCACAGTTTCTTCTCCTGGCCGACAAAAAATGTCATAAAAGGGGCACCCAGGTGGGTGATCCGTGGAGTGAAAAAAGTCATAAACGACACAACTCTGTTGGGGATACGGGTAACCATACCTGAAGAAGAGATGTAAACACAAGGGGTTCGATTCAAGTAAGGCTTCCCAAAGTTTTGGCTAGTTTTAATAGGGGTTTTATCAATAAGTATTTGTCATATGAGTGCTGCACACCTATGTTTGACATTCAAAAGAATTCACAGGGTGGCTCTGCTTTCGACGGAAAGTAGAGTCATCATAAATATAAGCAAGACGTTTTTATGCTGGGCCAATATTTGAAAGCAACTCTGTCTTGGCGAGTTTGGCATTCATAAAATCAAATCATATCTGTAGCTGTCTGTCCATCTTTCCGATGAACCATTGAAATGTGCAAAATATTCGCTAATGCATTATGTATAGGTTAAACGCCCCTCCAACACGGTATGTTTATTTAAGAGGCGGGATACACCTCATACTCTATTTCTGAATTTAACGTCCTTCTCCAGTAGGATCGAGCCAAATGAAGATATTCATGTTAACTGTCTTCCCCCAAGTACAGCTGGGCCTCGATCCCATAAATTTACATCCTCAGGATTACGAGTCAGGTAGCCTAACAGTAACACTAACCGCTAGACTTCGGACGCCGTTCACGAATCATCAGCTTTTACGTCAGAGAAGAAAGACACTACACACTCAACTCGTCTGTAACCCTATCTGTACGCCCTGGGGTCATTTTGTACCCCAGGGGTTGTATTCTTCACATTTTAGAATACTTCTTGTTCGAAGATCTCTTTGAAACTTTCAGTATTTCTCAAAAAATCATTTTTGACAGACTGCTAAGCTCAGCGCACAGATCGAATTAACGAGTAAATTTCCTCTTTGGAAAGTGGGGGCACAGAGTTGGCCACGTCGTATGTATACGATAGTAAAACACAACGTAGGGATAGCTGTAAGTAACGCATGATATTCCTTATTGGCCTTTAAAGGTTTCTTGTATAATTGATATTCAACAGTTGTTGTTTTTTTCTTTTACTCCATTAAGCTTTAGTAATATCTTTACGGCACTTGTAACATAAACTGGTCACGAGATGCAGAAGATTAAACGCGTTTTGCTTCTTTTAGTAGAGGTTTTACGGCGCTCACAACTGCATAAGGTCATATGAGCGCCAAGGTTTTGATTTCAACAGAGAAGTCCTTACAGGGAATCAGGCTTACTCTGCTCACCTCTCCAGCTTCAACAGCACAAAATCTGCTTCGACTATCAAGGCACCACGGAAATAGCGGGTCACAAGAGTGCGACAAACATACAAAAGAAGTAGAGGAAAAATGACGATCGTAATGATTAGGAAGGAAAAAGCAGCAATTCCTGTTGCAGTTCAGACACAGTTATGAGAATAACATTGATGAATCAGCTATATACAGTTCTACTGTGTGTAAGAACATGTCAATGTCCCCCTTTGGGAATGGCCTAAAGACACTTCAATCAGTAGCCCTGCCCCGGGGGGGGGGGGAGGTGATTAAGCGTGTTACAAGAACGAAACATACAACAAAAGTAGGACGGGGAATAAGGACGACAGACGTTAAAAAGGAAAGAAGAAACGAACCACATCAGTATACCTGCCAATAGCCCACGTTATCAAGCAATATTGTCTAACTTCTTGGAAGTAACAAAAAGGCCCCAAATATATAAAACTAATTTAGAAACTCTGCGTACATTATTTACTACAGATTCTATAAAAAGTTTTTCATCAAACTTGAGCTTACCATTCACTACCGAAGCTCCCAGGAGGGCACTCGGTAAAAGGAGGATAAAACGGGGGGAATCCAGTCATTGGTGGCAGTGGCGAGACTGTGATAAGGTTTTAAGATTAGATGAGAAAAGATTTAACTTTATTGTCCAGGCAATGGACATTGGTTTAACGTTTCATCACACTTACATACACTCAAACGTACACACACACACGCGCGCGAGCACACACACACACACATCCACACGTTCACATACACATGCACCAACACACACAGTACACACACACACACGCACACACACACACACACACACACACACACACATAAACACACACACACAGAACAATTCCTTACACTCACAAACAGACCAACCGTCACATATATGTGAAATATATAAACAGTTGTTAACATAACAATATTAAAGCTAAATACGCAATCATTGTTCTGATGTGACCAACATAATAACCCACAGCCACAAGTAAGTTGACACATTAATATTACAACTTCCACGCTCATACTAACAGTCCCCCAAATGCTAGAGCGAGAAGTACCTTGCTAATTGACTATAAAATCACATTTTCCAATGAATACAAGGGAGAGGAAGATAACCCTAGAGGTGTCTTCTTCATAGTTTTGTAAAAATTGAGGCATATCACTGACATCAGTTATTTCCTACTTTCATTTTATACCTTTTTTTTTTTTTTAACGTCAATTGCATTCTATTCAGAAACGTAACGTACCGATTGCCATATAAGGGGAAAAGGGACAAATCCATGAAAGACCTTCTAGCTCAAAGTGATTGCAAATAATTTATAAAAATTACCGAGTCTTCACTTAAACTCTTTTATCAGAAACACACACACACACACACACACACACAAGCATACATAATCACACGCAAATATACACACACATACACAAGCTAAACAGATAAAGCTTAAATAGATTATCACAAAACAGTGAAAGCTAGGAGGATACAATAGGGGCATGCATTTCTTTGTAGAATTAACAAGCAGTATAAAAACACTGAAAGGTTTTTACTACCTGTCCCTGCAATCGCCGACTGAAATAGATATAAGAAAAAAATAGGTTTGTAATAACATTCATTTGATAGTTTACCGATAATCGAATTGAAAAGAACTTCTCTCAAATACAAATCTTTTTCCCGGAATTAGCACGCAAAGCAATTAATTTAAAGCGCGTTGAATGCTTGTCATTAAGCCACACAAACAGAGGAACTTACTTTATATCCGTTTGAAATTTTAAAATAAGTTCATAAAAAAAGTAAAGATCCCCACCCCAGCTCAATGGGTTATACACAGTCATAGACAACACATATTCTCACTCTCTTGCAAACTCAAACTACCGCGGTCTTGCTACAGACATTACCGGCGCCTGTGTTGCATGTTCAACGCAGGTGACCTGAGTTCGATTCCCGAGTGGGGAGCGTTTTTATTGAGTATTACAGTCTTTCATCTAAGTTGTATCCATCTCAGCTAAGGCTGGACATGACAAGCAGGGTCGGTAGCCAGCTTCTTAAATCATTTAAAATGATCGAAATTTGTCGATGGGTGTGTGCAAACACCTATATGAAAACTATTGCATCTTTATGAAGGAGAGAAATAGAGATTGATTAGCAGATAGATAGATAAATGGAGAAAGATATATATATAAACACACACACACACACA